TTTTATTTAGCAAATTTTACAATATTTTTTTTTTTTTTGAAAACAAACTAAATTAACTTTAAAATTAAAAAATAATAAAAATGTTTATAACAATAATAATTGCAATGGCTTTAATATGTAGTTTTCAATTTAGTTTTAATTTTAGTGTTTTTTTATATTTTTGGGTTTTTTTTTCAATATTAGCTTTTTTTTACGTAATTTTCAGCTTGTTTAATTGTTTTTTATTATTTTTCTTTGATTTTAGTTATTTTTCTTTTTCTTTAATTTAAATATTTTTTAGTATTTTAAGCTATTTTTTTTAATGTTTGTTTTCTTTAACTACTTCAAAGGCGTTTGTTTAAAACTTTAAATCAATCGTGTTTTTAATACAATTATTTTTTTAATTTTTAGGTTAGGTTAGCTTTTAAGCAACTTAAGCCAAATTAGTAGTATTTTTTTTTTATTTTTAATTTAATTTATTTATTTAGCTTAGAGTTGCCTTTTACGTTTTTTTAATTTCATTAAAAATTTGTTTAAAATTATAAATTTATTTGTTAAATCTTTAAAATATCAAATGAACACATAATTAACATAAATAGTTTTAAAACAATAACTCAAAATTAAATATTTCAAAATTTTTAAGAAGTTTTACTTAGACAATATCGCAAATTGCACTAAAAGATGTTATATTGCTGATGCTGCCCGTGCAAAACCTCTCCGTAGTACTAAAGGGAAAGGAAACAATATTAAAGGAAACCTGGCTTGAGATTTCACTGATTTCCCAGTTTCGATGTTCGATAACCCCAAGATGAAATTGTTTGTTTACCATAACTGGTACTTCTATAACTTCACTTTAAGACTCCATGTTAAGGCCCCTTAGGAAATCAATTGTCAGGTGTGAATTAAACCCAAAATCGTTGGAGTCATTACATATATTGGAGTTGCAGATAGGTTTTGTTTAAAAAGGTTTATCAAACGAAAGGTCTTTCGTATATATTTATTTTGATATACATATTGCCTATATATTTCTATAGAGAAACAACATCCAAAATATAATAAAAACTCTATAAAACTCATTGGTTTTCTCAGAATTCTGATTATATGTACATTATTTCTGGGACGATTTCACTGATTTTTAATGGCAAACTTCTCGAAAGCATATCTGTCAGGATATGCATACAAAAAATAGATTATATACATCGATATATATAGACAACGGTCACCGCTAAACCGTTCTTTTTAAGGCAGATATATTTTATATAGAAACCGACCTATATACATATGTATGTATGTATGTAGTCCCAAGTTATCGGGATGATTTCTTATTACATTCCAGACTAAAAAAGTATGTAATACAAATATTTCAACATTCAAGGATCTTAAAATTGAAGGATTTATTCATTTGCGTCTGATGGCTAAGAATTTGGTATTGGATTCCATAGGAAACAGTAATTCCATTGATTTCTATATTGAAAATTACCTTTGGGGACCTTATGATATGTGATCCGAGTTCAAATTTAAAGGAAAGAGTTTTCCTTGGACTGCGATAACTGTTTGGCTTTGACATGACAGCGATCAGTGAAGCTTTTTCAAATAAATATCATGGTTTTCACCACTTTTCTTGACCTCATGTGAGCTGAGGTTTGACAGCTCGAGATCTTTAGCACACACTTCTGGAGCGAGGGTTAAACATTTAACACTGTGGTTAAACATTGAAACACTGAAATGTATTCCTTCGACAAGACAAGACTTTGATATTGGAATGTATGTATCTTCTCTTGTAGATAGTGTATGGAAATCGAAATGAACAGCTCTAGATTAGAAGCCAGGAAATTTTCAATCAATGATTCAAACATCTAACAGCTTTAGTTCGTCTAATTTCTTATGCAACGACAATAATGATAACCTCGCAACGAATAAATGAAGACAGAGAGAGATTATAGCATAGATGATATATTCCCGAACAAATCATTGACGAGAAAGTCCAAGGATCATCCAAAATTGCTGGCGGAATGATCTATTTAAGGCTGTGAAGATGAACACATGTTCGCTTATCGAAATCTTAATTGCTTGTTGCAACTTTATTATCTGAAAGCATCAAGAAAGAGTTTCTATCGAAACAGTATTTAATAGAAAAATAATCTGGGAATTCTTAATGTTGCCAGTTTTAGCTTGGAGTCAGTGGAAGGGTTTTTTCACGATGAATGGTTCGTCTATAAGCACAATACTAATGAGTTTATTACGTCCTTCCTGAACAACCCAAGAATGACTTGTGTTACAGCTCCATGATCTATGGTCTAGTCTGTAATCTAGTCTATAGTCTAATTTATAGTTTAGTCTATAGTCAAGTCTATAGTCTAGTCTATAGTCTAGTCTATAGTCTAGTCTATAATCTAGTCTATAGTCTACTCTATAGTCTAGTCTATAGTCTAGTCTATAGTCTAGTCTATAGTCTAGTCTATAGTCTAGTCTATAGTCTAGTCTATAGTCTAGTCTATAGTCTAGTCTATAGTCTAGTCTATAGTCTAGTCTATAGTCTAGTCTATAGTCTAGTCTATAGTCTAGTCTATAGTCTAGTCTATAGTCTAGTCTATAGTCTAGTCTATAGTCTAGTCTATAGTCTAGTCTATAGTCTAGTCTATAGTCTAGTCTATAGTCTAGTCTATAGTCTAGTCTATAGTCTAGTCTATAGTCTAGTCTATAGTCTAGTCTATAGTCTAGTCTAGTCTAGTCTATAGTCTAGTCTATAGTCTAGTCTATAGTCTAGTCTATAGTCTAGTCTATAGTCTAGTCTATAGTCTAGTCTATAGTCTAGTCTATAGTCTAGTCTATAGTCTAGTCTATAGTCTAGTCTATAGTCTAGTCTATAGTCTAGTCTATAGTCTAGTCTATAGTCTAGTCTATAGTCTAGTCTATAGTCTAGTCTATAGTCTAGTCTATAGTCTAGTCTATAGTCTAGTCTATAGTCTAGTCTATAGTCTAGTCTATAGTCTAGTCTATAGTCTAGTCTATAGTCTAGTCTATAGTCTAGTCTATAGTCTAGTCTATAGTCTAGTCTATAGTCTAGTCTATAGTCTAGTCTATAGTCTAGTCTATAGTCTAGTCTATAGTCTATAGTCTAGTCTATAGTCTAGTCTATAGTCTAGTCTATAGTCTAGTCTATAGTCTAGTCTATAGTCTAGTCTATAGTCTAGTCTATAGTCTAGTCTATAGTCTAGTCTAGTCTATAGAGTAGACTATAGACAAAATTATAAATTTCATTATAGACTAGATTATGGACTAGACCATAGAATAGACTAAACAGTAGACTATAAACTAGACTATGGACTGGATTATGGATTATAAACTATATTACAGACTAGACTGTGGACTAGACTATGGAGTAGACTAGACTACGAATTTAACTATAGATTAGACTATTGATTTGAGTATGAGTTGACCGCTGTCAACTTCAAGAATTGATTATCAAGGAAGTGCGACAAGTAAGATCGACAAATATGGTCACACTATAGACTATACTATAGACTAGATTATAGAATAAACTATAAAGACGATAGATTAGACTATAGACTAGACGATAGACTAGTTTATACACTAGACTATTGACTTGACTATAGACTAAACTATACACTAGACTATAGACTAGACTATGTTCTAGACAACAGATTAGACTACATACTGTACTTCAGACTAGAATGTATAATAACTGAAGATTCGAGTGTAGACTAGACAATAGATTTGATTATAGACTACTTGTCAGAAGTTTATAAGTTAGATAAAGTTAAATGTCATGGGGGTACTGCGGTATTTTGCGAAGTTAGAATGTACTGAAAAAAGTACTGAATTTTCTACGCTTGTTCACCAGGTAAACAGTGGAGAAATGTGGGATTTTCAGACAGAAATAGTTCAAAGTTATACGGAAAAATAACAATATGTTTTCTACTTTTAATATCGGACTTACTGTAAAAACCTGTAAAACAAATTTATAAATTTTAAATTTAAATAAAAATTGCATATAAATAAAAAGTCTTTTTAAAAATATAACGATATATAGGATTTTTGTTTTTTTTTAATAGTAAAATATATATATTTTTTCTTTTCATATAAATTAGATTTAAACTATTTATTACAATAATAAAAAATAAAACATTTTATGATTTTTATTTATTTAAAATAAAATTAAATAGAAGAAAATAATAAAAAATTATTTTTGTTTTTTGCTAAATGCACTTAAATAAGTTGAAATTTAAAATATAATAAAAATATTTTTTTTATAATTTGTTTAGAAAGAAAGGAAAGAACAAACACAAAAGAACACAAAAATATTTAACAGAAATTTTTACAAAAAGTGTTTGGAAAATTTAATTTTATACTGATAACAACATTTAAAAGAAAATTACTAAATAAATTATTTAAAATATAAAAATTTTTAAGTTTTGTTGCTTTTTTTGGAAAAAGTTTTAAGTATACTGGCAAAAGAATTTTAAGAAAAAAAAGACAAAATGAAGTTTGATAAGAAATGATTTTAAAGAAAATTTAGTTTCAAAATAAATTTTAGAAAAATTTGAAGAATAAAATTAAAATTAGAATTTTTTTGTTATAATTTTAAAAAATATAATTTTTTTTTTCAATTTTTTAAATAATTTTTTTGTAGATGATATTATTTGTTTAGTTTTAAAAAGTTTAAGTTAAACTTAATTTCAAAATTTTTTTAAAAAATTTTAAAATTTAGTTTCTTCATTTTGTCTATATTTTGTTTGAAAAAAAAAAATTAAAATTTTAAAACAAAAACTAAATTTTTTTTTATAAAAAAAAAGAAAAATTAAGTCGTTGCAGTTTTTTTTCTAGTTTTTTGTTTAAAATAATTAAACATTTAAATTACCAACTACTAAAAACTATGATACAAATTAAATTGTTTAATACTAAATACATTTGTATTATTTTTTTGTTGTTGTTTTTTTTTTTTTAATTTTATTTTTTATATATATAAATAATTTTGTTTTGCAAATATCCCGTTTACAATTCTTAAATAACTTTACAATTTGTTTAATGTGGTTTTTAAAAATAAAACTACTAAAAGTGCCTAAAGTTTGGACCGCTCTGCTTTTAACATTTTTTTTTTCATGCAAATCAATGCCTGCTCGGGATATTTAACTCTATTAACATAATTTGTTGTTTTTGTTTTAGTTTTTCCTATACACATGTTTGTAACACATTTACAAAGATTTTTTTTGTTTAAAATTATTTAATAAAACATTTCATACTTAAAGAAATTTCTAGATTTTCTAGAACCCATAAGTAGATATTGTTGTTCTTGTTTTTCTATATCTTCTTCATCTTCCTCATCTTCATTATCATCGTCATCATCGTGTTCTTCTTCATAATCTTCACCTTCTTCATAATTTGTTTTAAACATTTGCTGGTATTTTTTATTATGTTTAACTTTATTGTCCTGCTCTTTGTCCAGCTGCTGCTCATCCACTCAAATAATACTTTCATCATTATTGCGTGTCAAACGAATAGAGGTGGTGGTGGTGGTAGGATTTAGATGCTCCTCCATTAGACCCGGCCTCGTTAAACGATTGCTGGGTTCATTTGCTGCTGCTGCTGTTGTTGTGGTGGTGGTTACTACTATATTTTCATCATCATACAAATCAAAATCCTCTTCTTCATCATCATCATAATCGGAATTGGTGCTGGATAGCAGAGCTGTTGTTACTTGATTCTTTTTATTACTGCCACCCATAGCACCACCCATGTTACGTCTTATTTGAGCTCTTGGTGTTAATTTGGGCAGTAGAGGTTCTCGTCCACTGCTGGCCTTTAGTAGTTTATCACTATTCCCGCTGGCATAGTCGGCTTTCTCCGCATCGGCTAATACGGACTCCCATTCTTCGCCAGCCGGTTCACATAGCGATTTTGAGTGTCCATGGTAATAAGATTCCTCGGGGATAGTGTCTCTGTTTTGTTTTATGTTTTAATTTTTAAAGTTTGTGTTTTGTTTTTTTTAGGGGGAAAATTGAAGAAAGAAAATTTTGGAAAAAAAGATTATGAAATGATATGATTATAGTTTGGTAAAAATGCCATAAATTATAAAAAAATATAAAACATTTTAAGAACCTAGAATTTGGTTATAAAGGGGACAAGTTGTTGCGAAATAAAAGACCTTTTGTTCAGCTTTAAAGTAACATTTCTTGAAATCTAAAGTCACATATTGTTTAACTATAAAATAGTTTCGTTTGATTACTAATTAGTTTTCTGAAATTTTAAAATTTGTGAAATTTTCATAATCTTTTATTTCGCCCTAACTTTTCCCTCTTTTAATGAGTTTTGTCTTTGTTTTAAAAAAAGATTTTTGTTTTTTGATAAACTACATGTTATTTTTGTTATTATAAATATTAAATTATAAAAAATGATTACAACTTACAACACTGGAACGAAAATAACTTGAAACTTAATCAAGGTTTAAAGTTAGTTTAATATATTAAAGTTATTGGGTGCATAACTGAAATGTACGGTTCAGAAATTGCATTTACGGTTGCGAAAGACATCGATCTTTCTGAACTGAACTAGAAACTGAACTAGAACGGAACTAGAACGGAACTAGAACTGAACTAGAACTGAACTAGAACTGAACTAGAACTGAACTAGAACTGAACTAGAACTGAACTAGAACTGAACTAGAACTGAACTAGAACTGAACTAGAACTGAACTAGAACTGAACTAGAACTGAACTAGAACTGAACTAGAACTGAACTAGAACTGAACTAGAACTGAACTAGAACTGAACTAGAACTGAACTAGAACTGAACTAGAACTGAACTAGAACTGAACTAGAACTGAACTAGAACTGAACTGAACTAGAACTGAACTAGAACTGAACTAGAACTGAACTAGAACTGAACTAGAACTAGAACTGAACTAGAACTAGAACTGAACTAGAACTGAACTAGAACTGAACTAGAACTGAACTAGAACTGAACTAGAACTGAACTAGAACTGAACTAGAACTGAACTAGAACTGAACTAGAACTGAACTAGAACTGAACTAGAACTGAACTAGAACTGAACTAGAACTGAACTAGAACTGAACTAGAACTGAACTAGAACTGAACTAGAACTGAACTAGAACTGAACTAGAACTGAACTAGAACTAAACTAGAACTGAACTACAACTGAACTAGAACTGAACTAGAACTGAACTAGAACTGAACTAGAACTGAACTAGACCTGAACTAGAACTGAACTAGAACTGAACTAGAACTGAACTAGAACTGAACTAGAACTGAACTAGAACTGAACTAGAACTGAACTAGAACTGAACTAGAACTGAAGTAGAACTGAAGTAGAACTGAACTAGAACTGAACTAGAACTGAACTAGAACTGAACTAGAACTGAACTAGAACTGAACTAGAACTGAACTAGAACTGAACTAGAACTGAACTAGAACTGAACTAGAACTGAACTAGAACTGAACTAGAACTGAACTAGAACTGAACTAGAACTGAACTAGAACTGAACTAGAACTGAACTAGAACTGAACTAGAACTGAACTAGAACTGAACTAGAACTGAACTAGAACTGAACTAGAACTGAACTAGAACTGAACTAGAACTGAACTAGAACTGAACTAGAACTGAACTAGAACTGAACTAGAACTGAACTAGAACTGAACTAGAACTGAACTAGAACTGAACTAGAACTGAACTAGAACTGAACTAGAACTGAACTAGAACTGAACTAGAACTGAACTAGAACTGAACTAGAACTAGACTGAACTAGAACTGAACTAGAACTGAACTAGAACTGAACTAGAACTGAACTAGAACTGAACTAGAACTGAACTAGAACTGAACTAGAACTGAACTAGAACTGAACTAGAACTGAACTAGAACTGAACTAGAACTGAACTAGAACTGAACTAGAACTGAACTAGAACTGAACTAGAACTGAACTAGAACGAACTAGAACTGAACTAGAACTGAACTAGAACTGAACTAGAACTGAACTAGAACTGAACTAGAACTGAACTAGAACTGAACTAGAACTGAACTAGAACTGAACTAGAACTGAACTAGACTGAACTAGAACTAGAACTGAACTAGAACTGAACTAGAACTGAACTAGAACTGAACTAGAACTGAACTAGAACTGAACTAGAACTGAACTAGAACTGAACTAGAACTGAACTAGAACTGAACTAGAACTGAACTAGAACTGAACTAGAACTGAACTAGAACTGAACTAGAACTGAACTAGAATGAAACTAGAACTGAACTAGAACTGAACTAGAACTGAACTAGAACTGAACTAGAACTGAACTAGAACTGAACTAGAACTGAACTAGAACTGAACTAGAACTGAACTAGAACTGAACTAGAACTGAACTAGAACTGAACTAGAACTGAACTAGAACTGAACTAGAACTGAACTAGAACTGAACTAGAACTGAACTAGAACTGAACTAGAACGGAACTAGAACTGAACTAGAACTGAACTAGAACTGAACTAGAACTGAACTAGAACTGAACTAGAACTGAACTAGAACTGAACTAGAACTGAACTAGAACTAAACTAGAACTGAACTAGAACTGAACTAGAACTGAACTAGAACTGAACTAGAACTGAACTAGAACTGAACTAGAACTGAACTAGAACTGAACTAGAACTGAACTAGAACTGAACTAGAACTGAACTAGAACTGAACTAGAACTGAACTAGAACTGAACTAGAACTGAACTAGAACGGAACTAGAACTGAACTAGAACTGAACTAAGAACTGAACTAGAACTGAACTAGAACTGAACTAGAACTGAACTAGAACTGAACTAGAACTGAACTAGAACTGAACTAGGGAACTGAACTAGAACGAACTAGAACTGAACTAGAACTGAACTAGAACTGAACTCGAACTGAACTAGAACTGAACTAGAACTTGAACTAGACCTGAACACTAGAACTGAACTAGAAACTGACTAGAACTGAACTAGAACTGAACTAGCACTGAACTAGAACTGAACTAGAACTGAACTAGAACTGAACTAGAACTGAACTAGAACTGAACTACGAACTGAACTAGAACTGAACTAGAACTGAACCTAGAACTGAACTAGAACTGAACTAGAACTGAACTAGAACTGAACTAGAACTGAACTAGAACTGAACTAGAACTGAACTAGGAACTGAACTAGAACTGAACTAGAACCTGAACTAGAACTGACTGAAACTAGAAACTGAACTAGAACTGAACTAGAACTGAACTAGAACTGAACTAGAACTGAAACTAGAACTGACCTAGAACATGAACTAGAACTGAACTAGAACTGAACTAGAACTGAACTAGAAACTGAACTGACTAGAACTGAACTAGAACTGAACTAGAACTGAACTAGAACTGAACTAGAACTGAACTAGAACTGAACTAGAACTGAACTAGAACTGAACTAGAACTGAACTAGAACTGAACTAGAACTGAACTAGAACTGAACTAGAACTGAACTAGAACTGAACTAGAACTGAACTAGAACTGAACTAGAACTGAACTAGAACTGAACTAGAACTGAACTAGAACTGAACTAGAACTGAACTAGAACTGAACTAGAACTGAACTAGAACTGAACTAGAACTGAACTAGAACTGAACTAGAACTGAACTAGAACTGAACCAGAACTGAACTAGAACTGCACTAGTACTGAACTATAACTGAACTCAGATGATATAACAAACTTCTTTGATTTGGTGTCTTCGCGTTGCTGTAACGTCTCAAATATGCTCAAAAAGAAGATTTTTTCAAAATTTGAAACAAAAATTTCATCACAGCTTATTCCTTTAGAAAACAGCCTTCTGGGTTTACGATTTGTTAAAATATTGTTGGCTTGTGTTAGAAACAGTTAAACCTCGTTCAAGTTATTTTCATTCCAGTCGATGAATTTGTAAAAAATCTTTAACAACAATACTTTACAACTTTCACTATTTATATAAAATCAAACAAATAGAGAGAGCTATAACAAAAAAAAAATAAACTACAGTTAAACCTGGTTTTAAAGAAAAAGAGAAAAATCTTTAAATAGTTTTTTTTTTTTTTAATTAAAGTTTCATGTAAAAAATTTTATAAATAAAATACCTAGATTTTACTGTAATTTATCTTTTTTTGAAATGTTTTTTTTTAGTAAGTATAGTATTACAAAAATTCAATAAAAAAAAATCAAACATAAAATAAAAATTAGCCATACATGCAAATTATAGGAAGTAAAAATAGAGAGTTTTATCGTTCATAAATTTATTTCGTATTTATTTTGGGGGAAAAAAAGTTATATATTTACAAGCAAATAGTAGAGAAAGAGGAAAAAAATTATAGATAAAACATATTATAATTATAATAACTAAATAAATCTCGTTTTAATAAGAGATTTTTTTTAACTTTTCAATTTAAAAATATTTTCGATCTAACTATTGATTGTAATACAGTTATAATTTGTTAGTTTTATACAATCAATCATTAATCGATTGTCAAACTTTTGTTATAAATTTAAAGTTAAAGTTTAAAGTAAATTAAAGCTTAAAAATTAAGGAGGAGAAAGTAAAGATTTATAACATGCAATTTTAATTTATTTTTTATTAATAATATAATTATTTATTAATAATAAGTTAAACAATACAATTTTGTTAGTTTAAATTATTTTGATTTATTTTTTTTTTTTAAGAAATTTTTTATTTAAATATAGTTTTTATATAAAACGTGTTTTATTGCTTTTTTGTGGTTGGTTTAACTAAAAAACCTAAACATTTTAAACCCAAAACCTTAACTAATGAAAAAAAGAAACTAAACATGTTATCAGTTTATGCTGAATTACAAAAAAGTTAGGCGAATTGTGTTATCAATTTATGATAACTAGCAGAAAACGCTTAAAATTTTCTAGAACAGTTTGCGAAAAGGAAATCCTTTAGAAAATACACTT